GTGTTGGGAGGCTATATGTTTATAGGAATTTATCCATTTCTTCTAGGTTGTCCAGTTTGTTGACATATAATTTTTTACAGTATTTTCTTATAATCCCTTGTATTTCTGTGGGGTCAGTTGTTTCTTCTCTCTCTTGTTTATGATTGTATTTATTTGGATCCTTTCTGCCTTGATGAATCTGGCTCAAGGTTTGTCAATTTTGTTCATCTTTTCAAAGAACCAGCTCTTGTTTTCACTGATTTTCTCTATTGTTTTTTTCAGTCTCTATGATACTTATTTCTGCTCTGATCTGTATTATTTCCTCTCTTCTACCCACTTTGGGCTTTGTTCTCTTTTTCTAGTTCCTTTAGGTGTAAGGTTAGATTGTTTATTTGAGCTTTTTCTTGTTTCCTGACTTAGGCCTGTATTACTAAATACTTCCCTCCTAGAACTGTTTTGGCTGTGTCCCAAAGATTTTGGACTGTTGTATTTTCATTTTCATTTGTCTCCATGTAATTTTAAAATTTCTTTTTTGAGTTGTTGAGTTGGTGTTTAGTCTCTATGTGTTTGTATTTTTAATCTTTTTTTTTCTTGTGATGTATTTCTAGTTTCATATCATTGTGCAAATCAATGAGTCACTTGTAGATCCTCGTCTGAAAACCCTTCCAAATCTTTGAACCTTCACCACAAGGAGTTTTCCTTGTAGTGATTCTGGGTCTTGGTTGGTATCTGAACTGGTCCTTCCACTTTGAGATTCCTTTCCTTTGTGCCTCTGAGCAAATCAGCATATATCTTCTCCAGAGATTTTATGCTGCAGCTGATTTGAGTAATTCTAATTTAGTGAATCACCACCTCTGGTTCCATGGGTGTCTTCTTGGTGTCATTAGAAGCCATAGCTGCAGCATAGCTTCCTGACTGATTTCTTCCTTGGAGAGAGCAAAGTGGTGAGTCAGGACCTAGAGTGGGTTGCCCAGAGATCCACTGTAGCCACAACTGCATCTCTCTCAAAAAGTCAATCTTCTCAATTTTATTGAGGTTTGTTTTATGGCCCCATATGTGATCTATCCAATTCAGATCCTTTTAAAATGAAATCTATTTAGGGAATTTACCCGAAATGCTTATGTAGAAATGCTTCTGGATTGTAATCTGGCTTCTCATTCATATCTAGAAAATTCTTTAATTCTCAGCAACTCAACATTCAGAGGGGCTTGCTTCACCTTCAAGGTAAATCCATGGCTGTTCATGAATTAAGCCTGTTGCACCCACTCAGGTTGAGAACTCCTGCTCTATCATATCATCTTTTTTTTTTTTTAAAGATAGATTTATTTATTTATTTATTTATTTATTTATTTATTTATTTATTTATTTATTTATTTATTTATTACGAGAGAGCACTAGTGGGAGGGGCAGAGGGAGAGGAAAAGAGAATCCCAAGCAGATTCTGTGCTGAGTGCCAGATACAGGGCTTGATCTCAACAACTCTGGGATTCTGACCAGAGCCAGAACCAAGATTTGGTCCTTTAACCAACTGTGCCACCCAGGCGCCCCTCTACCACATCATTTTTAATGGCTTTCTAATGATTTATTGTATAGATATACAATAATGTGTTTAATCCAGTGTCTTCTGTTGAGCATTTAAGATGATATATAATATCACTCTGCAATAAACATCCTTATAGTTAAATCTGTGCACATTTTCCTGGTTATTTCCTTAGGACAAATTCCTATAATCAGGCTAAGGATATGCCACATTTAAAAACTTTAAATTTGGCAGGAATTTTTAAGTTCTATTTTACAAATAAAGTAAGGGTGTAGTGGTTTACAGATATGGATATGTATGTATGTATGCATGTAGGCTGAGGTATAGTTTACATGAGATGTTGTTTTTAAAATACTTAAAAATTTTATTTATTTAAGATGTTATTTTAGTTTCAGATGTGCAACACGGTGATTTGGCAATTATGAGAAGTTTAATTACCATGTCCCCATATATGATAAGTGTAGTTTTCAGCTGTCCCCAGATAAAGTTATTAAAGTATTATTGACTATGTTCCCTATGCTGTATTTTTCATCTTCGTGACTTATTTATTTTGCAACTGGAAGTTTGTACTTCTTAGTATCCTTTACCTATTTTGCTCATCCTCCTCACCAACCTCCTCTCTGGCAGCTACCAGTTTCTTCTCTGTATTTAAGAATCTTTTTTGGGGGTTGCCTGGGTGGCTCAGTTGGTTAAGCATCTGCTTTCAGCTCAGGTCATGATCTTCAGGTCCTGGGATCGAGCCCCACATTGGACTCTGCTAGGTAGGGAGCCTGTTTCTCCCTCTCTCTCTCTAGGCTCTCTTTCCCTCTCTCCCTCTCGATCTCTCTCAAAGAAAATCTTTTAAAAATAGAATCTTTTTTTTGGTTATTGTTTGTTCACTTGTTTTGTACTTTAAATTCCACATGTAAGTGAAATCATATGGTATTTGTCTTTCTCTTGTCTTAGCATAATATATCCCCAGGTCCATCCATGTTGTTTCAAGTAGCAAGATTTCATTTATTTTTTTAATGGCTGAATAATGTTCCATTATGTATCTATCACCTCCCCCCCTTTTAAAGGTTTATTTATTTTAAAGAGAGAGAGAGAGAGAGAGAGAGAGAGAGAGAGAGAAGGCAAAGGAGAGGTAGGGGGAGAAGGAGAGAGAATCTTAAGCAGACTCTGCCCTGATGTGGAACAAGGGACTCGGTCCCACAGCTTGAGCCAAAAGCAAAAGTCAGATACTAAGCCAACTGAACCACCCAGGTACTCCTTGCATCTTCTTTATACCACATTTTCTTTGTCCATCCATCTATGGATATATCAAACCTTTTAATTTCATACAGGGCAGTTGTTAGATATTTGAGTGTTATCATTTGCTTGCCTCCTCAGAAGATTTCTGGGTTGGTCTGGCGCATGAGGTACTCAATAAACCGATGATTGTTGGATGATATTGAATAGTAATAACAATCCTAGAACTTCAGAGGACTATATAGGTTTCAGAAACTTCATGACTGAGATTGTGCTCCTAATATTTATGGTTCTAGATGGAAATGGCTGTAGACCTCTGAGAAGACCCATGGCTTTTCTAAACCTTATGGCTATATAATTTTGTTATAATGTTTGTTACATTTTGTATGAGACTTTCTTTTCTTTTCTTTTTTTTTGAGAGGGAGCGTCAAGGAGAGAGGAGAGGAAAAGAGAGAATCTTAAGGAGGCACCACACCCAGAGCAGAGTCTGACGTGGGACTGGACCTCACAACACAGGGATCATGACCTGAACCAAAATCAAGAGTCAGATGGAGGCAGGGAAACCAGCAAAAGAGGAGAAAGAGACAGCTGGGCTCCACTGTTGATCTTTCTTTGTCTGACTAGTCCAGAGTTAAAATAAGCAAATATTTTTTGAATACCTACAAGGCACTGGTTAGACTGACTTGAGGAATTGGGAGTTAAATGAATACTATTATACGATCAGACTCTGATTTACATCACACAAATATTTATATTTAGTTTTATATATCATAACAAGCTGGGCTGAGGGTTCTGTATAAAATAGTGGAAAAGAGTGACAGACAGGGTGTGGCTCTGCTTTTTCCCTAGCTGCCTGGTTTATTTAATCTTCTAGGTCTGTGTCCTGACCATCAATCCACACTAACAATGCTTTGCTAAAGTGGAATTCAAATTCTATGTACACATACATTCACATTTTATATCCATCTTTATTGCGGGTTGATTCATTAAGGAAGATACGCGAATAAAGTTCTATGTATATTATGTATATTTAATTTCTGTAAAAGGTCGAATATTCTTAGGTACCCAGGTGTTGTCAGATATGCTTTTCAGATTAAGTGGTTTGGGGTGGTCCTTTTTTTGAAAATCACTTAAAATACTGTAATCTACCTTTTGGTATTCACAGCCAGGGAAATTACGGCATTTATGAAATGGCAGTCCCTTATTTTTCCTAGTAAAGACATGGGCCAAGAGCAAAGCGCAAGAAGCACGTGTGATGCACCTCGGATTACCTTTTGAATTGCCTTCACATCTGTTTAATTTCGTTTAAACACGGTGATAAGAAAACAAAACAAGAGTCTCACAGCTCTCAATTTATTTCTCTATCTGGTAATAATTTTACACTCCGTAGCAGCTAGGATAAACAGTAGCAAACATGATCCATGATCTTGGAAAAAAGTAAATGTTGAGTATTTATTAATAATCTATTATAGGTGTCTCTACGTGCAATCAAAGCAGAAGGGGGTGTTACCAGTATTCAATCTGACACATTACTTAGGCTCTGATTAAAAAAAGGGTCTTTGCCCTCAGTGGCTAATTAAAACATTACCATTCTCGTGACTATACGCAGGCACGTCGCGAAAAAGCAGGAAATAAATCAGCATGCTATTTTTTTTTCTCCGCAGCTCTAGGCATCTAATTTATGGAGGTCTGGCCATAAGGTGCAATTTCCTTGTGTTCTGGGAGCCCGGCTCTGGTAACTGCCGGTCTTCCAGCTTCTTCTTACGGACTCTCCTTGAGGTCAGGGAAAGGCTGAAATTTCCGCGGTCCCCAGGGACTGAGGCGACCCCGGTGTCACGCGGAAGAATTAAGAGCCGCTCCTCCGGGGCAGCCGGCGGCGTCCTGGCAGCGGGGTGACTGCTGCAGCGGGGGTGGGCGCCCGCCCAGTTCCGGGAAACTGGGGCCGTACGGGAAGGTGAAGTGCAGAGAGTGGGGAGCCGCCCGCGGACCTCTGCGACCCCCAGCACCTAACGCCTGCGCACGCTCCCCGAGGCTCGTCCCCGCGCAGGTCCGCGCGCGCCCCGCCCTCCCCCCAGCGCGTGCCCACACGGCCCACGCGCACGCGCGCTCCGCCCTGCCTGCTGCCCGGCGCGCGCCAGCTGGCTGGCCCCGGGCGTGCGGTGGGCGGGGCGCCGCGTTGACGTTGCCCGGGATGCGGGCAGGTTCCGCCGCCGTCGCCGCCGCCGCCGCCGCCTCCGCCGCCGCCTCCGCCGCCGCCGCCGCCGCCGCCGCCGCCTCCGCCTCGCCTGACGCCGGGGTTTGTATGAAAACACCGGGCGGTGGGCGGCGCGGAATCCGCTGTGCCTCCAGAAAGCAGCCGGTGGCGCTGCCGTCGCCGCGTCGGGTGCTGCGGCTCTGCCCAGTCCCTGCCAGCGCCCCGTCCTGACCCGGTGAGCGCCCCGCCGCCCCTCGGCTGCGGCTTTCCCGCCCGCCGCCGCCCCCCACGCCCGGCCGCGGCGTCCCGGCGACCGGAGAGGCCGGAAGGAGCGACCCCGGGCCCGCCGCGGTCTGCGTCCTGGGACCCTCCCGCCCCGCACCTGACAGGTTGTGTAACGCGTGTCTCGGGGGGGAGGGAGTGGACCGGAGCTGGAGGGAGACCCCCGATGGCGTGGGGCTTTGGCTGGTTTCTGGAAAACGCCCCCCCCCCCACCCGCGGACCCGCGGCGGCCCCCGCCTCAGTCCCGGCCGGGGGTCCCCGACGCAGTTTTCTGGCTGAGGCGGCCCCTGTGCCCTGCCCTTTCTGAGGGGCGGGCAGCGCTGGTGGCCGCGGGGCCGCGCGGACAGGGCGGAGGGGCGGCGGGCCGCGTCCCGGCGCCCCCCACCCCCGCCCCGGGTGCGCCCTGCTTTGCCGGGGGCTGCCGGGGTGTGACAGCGACGCTGGCCGCCTAGGTCTGCTTCATTTCAGGGGGCCGTTTGGCCTGAAGTGTGTTCTCTGTTTACTACTTGTCGCCTTTTGGGTTTGATTTGAGCCTGAATCAGATCGCCCTAGATGACAGTGCAGAGTTTCCGCGTAGCCTGCCTTTCCGAGTTGCGGGTTCCTAATTGCGAGTATTTCAAGGACTCCTGCAATGCCGGCTAAGGCTCTCTTATCCGGTGCAATTTTGAATCGGTTAATTTCCCTGGGCGTTTTACCCATTGTAGAATGGAGTTGTTATACTCCTTAGCATAATCGATGTGAATGTTGGTAATTTAAAGGCCATTTCTTGTTTTGATATAGCTTTGCTCAGTTCAGTGCTGGAAGGCCCAGCACTGCTGATGACTTAATGGGTTGTAACACTTAGCGGATTTTTTTTTTTTTTGGCAATGTTAATTCTTTGTGAGTGTTTTGCTTTTTTTCAGGTGTTGAAAATTGTAGCAGTGTTTAATTATAATGCATGACAATTTGCAGTGAGAAAGGACATGATGCCTGTGTTGTAATCTTTATGTAAATCGAGTTATCACTTTCTTTAGTAACCTCTGAATTCTTTTTTTTTTTTTTTTAAAGATTTTATTTATTTATTCATGAGACACACACACACACACACAGAGAGAAAGAGGCAGAGACACAGAGGGAGAAGCAGGCTTTACGCAGGGAGCCCGACGTGGGATTCGATCCCGGGTCTCCAGGATCACGCCCTGGGCCGAAGGCAGGCGCCAAACCGCTGAGCCACCCAGGCGTCCCGTAACCTCTGAGTTCTTATAACTTGTCTTTTCCTGAGAAATCTCGGAAGTTATTTTTGTAGTTGTGTAATGGAATATTTTCAATTCAGTAGGCTAAAAACCAGTTTATTTAAGGCTCTTTAAAGGGTCCCTATTTCTTTTTTTTTTATTATAAGTTTGACTACATTGCTTTATTTTATTTATTTATTTTTTTAATTTTTATTTACTTATGATAGTCACATAGAATGAGAGAGAGAGGCAGAGACACAGGCAGAGGGAGAAACAGGCTCCATGCACCGGGAGCCCGACATGGGATTCGATCCCGGGTCTCCAGGATCGCGCCCTGGGCCAAAAGCAGGCGCCAAACCGCTGCGCCACCCAGGGATCCCAAAGGGTCCCTATTTCAAAACATGTGCCAAATACTAATCAAAACCAAACAAAACCCTGGGAGATCTATTAGCATTTCCTATAATTGTCGTGATTGGTCCTGTAATTTCTGTGAGAGAGCGATGTCTTATCTACTCCTTATTTTCTTGTTGTAATATGACTTGTTCCGTTTCCCACTCCACCTCGCTTGACTTAGGTTCTACGATGAAGTTATAGGTTCATTTTTAATGACCTCAATTTCTGCCTTGAATTAATTGCTTCTACACTTAGAACTGCAGTCTCACTCCGAACTTTTAAAGAAAGGGAACTTAAAGAGTTCCTCTTGTTATTAGTCAACATTGCAAAACATTTAAGTGTTTAATGTAGCGTAAGCTTTTGTAGAAGCAGTTTTTATAAAGCTTTTCCCATCGACTTGAGGCATTATTTTTCTCTTTGGAACAGTTTAGCTAGACTCCTATATGATCATGATTTTTATCTTCAACAGCAGAGGGAAAAAACACCTAAGACTTTTGAAACTACCTAATTTGTATTCGGTTCTACTTTTTGGAGTTTTCAATAAATCTCCACAGTATTCACCTTCCAAAATGTACTACTCTTGCTTGAGGTCGCTCAGTACCTGGAAGTTGAACAGTGTATCATTAGTAATGGATGAAGCTGTCAGAGGCCTCTCTGCAAGTTGGGAGCTTTCCTTAGGGAATGGGTTTTGATGTCAACAACAGAAGTTGTTTGGATGAGGAATTTTAAATTTTATATATTATTATTGGTTACTGTGCCTGTGTTCTATAATGTAGTGGCTAGGGAGTTGGGCTTCAGAGCCAGCCCAGCTGGATTTGAATCCTGACTTTGCTTGAGGCAAGTTATTTATCTTCTTTGTGCTTCAGTTTTCTCAATTCCAAAAATGGGAGTAAGAATGGTTGTACCCTTAAGATCTTGAATATTAAATGAGTTAATACACATAAAGTACTTAGCCCACAGTGCCTGGCATATAGTAGTCAATCATTCAGTAAATATTGCCACTACTGCTCGTCCTCACTCTTCCAAGGATCTAGCAAGCTGAAGAAGGACGTTAGGCCGATCTAGGATTATTACTGCAGAATAATTCCCTTGTGACCCATTCGCTCCTTTGGGGCTAAATGAGAGCTTAGTCTCACTATCCTGCCTTGGAAGCATGTAATTTAGTTTTAAATAGAACAGCTAGACCCTGAGCTGGGTGCCCTGAGATGCTGCTGGCGAAGTGCTGAAGTATCCCTGTTTGTCCCCTTATGACAGAACCTTGGATTGTCTCCCTCATGGTGGTGGTGACTGCTATTTTAATCACCTGTTTTTGACTTTGTGATTGCATGTTTCTTTGTCATGTGCTGCTTTCAAAAATATTATCTATCAAACTATTAATAGGTTTAAGTTTATCTGATCAAGATATTGCATGATGTTTCCAGGACAGACAAAATCACTTTCATCTATTCATTCTTTTGTTTTTTCTTTATTGGTGTTAGAGTGAGGATGGTTTTGATTTGACATTGTATTCCTTTTCAGCTCATGTAATTTTTCTAGGAAAGATTTTTTTAAATTAATGATCTTATGTACATTTTTGTACTTCTTGGTTTGCAGGGATCTGATATTAATTCTCCTTTAAATCAGTTATTTTCAAGCTTTAGATTTCAGGACTCTTTCACATTTTTATTGAAAAATAAGTATTTTTCAAAATGAATAAGGCAATGAGAAGAGTAGTTTTGTTTTACATTTTTGTAAATCTCTAATGTCTGGTTTAATAGAAATATCTGGATTCTTCTGTCTGCTCCTGCATTCAGTCTGTTGCAGTGTTTTTTGGTTTGAAGTCTATAGAAATCCTGCCATACATAGCTAATGGCTGGAAAAGGGTGGGGGGTATTTTTAATAGTCTCTTCAGATGATAATGGATTTTCTTGTTTGGTGCTACATCACAGCTCAACATGTGTTGGTTTTTTTAGTCATTTGCAGTATGGAATCTGAAATCATATCAGTGGGCTTTTTTCATAGTGTTATATTAAAATCCATTGGTCTGAACTTTGAATGGATCCTACATAACTGGATCCATTCCAGTTATGGAATAGATCAAATTCATAACTTGAATTTGTAACATCATGCTGCCGTCATTTATAAATATTGGTTCAGTTACTGCAGATCTTCCAAATGTTGACACATTTCATATGGTATTAAAAAATTACGTTTGTTAATATCACCAGTTATCCTATCAGAAACAAATTATTGGGAAGCTGTCCAGTTCCTGACATGATGGTACTTATGAGTTTTTCAGAAATCTGATTTTTGCTTTTGAAAGCTCAAATTTTATCATTGGCAAGAAATATTACTGTCAGTTGTTTCCTAGAAGTGCCAAGCAGATTTTGTTCTTCTCTGAAGGAACCTGTGCCAGAACACCTAAGTCTGAATAACCATAGTCATTCTTTCAAGAAAAATGGTGTTTCATGAAAAAAAAAAAAAAGACTAGTGTAAACCCTCAGTTCAATCACACAAGTACTTTACCTTGAGACAGCCATCAATTATTGTCATTTAGTATGTGGCCAGAAATGCTTCCTGTGTACTCACCATTTTGTCACATAGAATATTTAAAAAGATGTATACTCAGGGACTGAGATTCAATAAAATTAATTTTTACTGGGATCCCTGGGTGGCGCAGCGGTTTGGCGCCTGCTTTTGGCCCAGGGCGCGATCCTGGAGACCTGGGATCGAGTTCCGCGTTGGGCTCCCGGTGCATGGAGCCTGCTTCTCCCTCTGCCTGTGTCTCTGCCTCTCTCTCTCTCTCTCACTGTGTGCCTATCATAAATAAAATAAATAAAATAAAAAAAATTAATTTTTACTATTTGAAGGACATTGTTAAGTGAAAAAGGCTTTTTTTTTTTTTTTTTTTTAAATAGCTACTGGTACTTGATGGTGAAAAATATAATGATTAATGTTTGGTGCCAGTACCATAAGTTTTTCTAAGAGCCAGAAATGTTATACATCACTGCTTTTGTACCATTAGTATAAATGTTAATAAAGTTAAAAAGGTTAATGATATTTTAGTGTTATTATGAAAATAGTTTTGACCTTGTGGACCCCCTAAAAAGGTGTCAGGACCCCATGGACCACATTTAAAGGACTTTTGGTATAAGTCAGCAGATTCCTACCAGACTTTGGTAAGGAATGGACATGGTTGTGACAGTCATTAGTCTGTTTTTGCTTCAGACTTGTGGGTCCCAGTAAAGGCCCCCATTTTTTTTTAAAGCACAATAAAGGTTATTCACAGAAAATTGAGCTTTCTTAAGGGCTTTAGTCAGGTGCTAATACAGGGGAACTACAGTATTAGTAATCTGTAATAATTACACTA